TCTTAGTCCTTTTCTATACAAACATAATGGAGTCCAATAAATTCTAAATATTTTTTGTCCAGTAAGTTGTAGTTTAAGGTCCATTGACACTCTTGCCATAGAAGTTAAGACACTCTCCCATTGTCTAGGCAATATATAAACCTCTAATGCTTTATTCCACTCATCTCTTAACATCTGCATGTCAAAGTGATTTATTGATAACAAATATCTATAAAACCTAATAGTAGTTTTTTTTAGTTTTAAAGGATTTAACAAGTTGTTCTAGTGTCTCAGGTGTCTCAAAAGTTGAAAATGCTGCTGGTCCAAACAATGTTATTAACAAATGTAGCTTTAAATATTGCCATTGGGTTACATCTGGTAGATGATATTTATCTCTTTGCATATGTTAAAAATTCATCTTCATCTATCAATTGGCGCAAAGTCAATAACCCCGCTTCCATCCAATTTTTCCATATCACCATCTTTTTCCCAATTTTTAATGTTGGGTTTTAATTGGCGCAAAGTCAATAACCCCGCTTCCATCCAATTTTTCCATATCACCATCTTTTTCCCAATTTTTAATGTTGGGTTTTCCCATAAAGTTAATTTAGCATGGGAAAAAGTTAGAATATTACATTCCACAGCTTTCTAACTGACATAATTGTTTCCAGAGATACTAGAGTTCTGTTATATTTAGATCCTAATACTGCCATCCAACCAAAGGTGCTATATACATATATTCCAATGTTGCCCAAATCGGAAAAATAACACCAATTGTTGGCTTCCAGTATTTAATACTTGACAATATGTAAGTTTGATGATATAGCTCCAGATTCGGAAAACCAAATCCTTCGTTAATTGGTAGTTGCATTTTCTGTAAAGATATTCTCAGAACTAAAGAACCCCATACATTTTTTCTAAACAAAGAATTTATTTTCTGAAAATAATCTCTGGATATTTGAACAGGAATTCCTCTTAGAATATAAATTAATCTGGGAATAATATTAATTTTGAGAGCATTTACCTTTCCCCAATGGGTGAGGTTTAATGACCCCCTTCTATCCATATCTGAATAAACATTTATATATTTTATTTATATCACATGTTTGGGAAGTCAATGTAACTTTATGCCTGGCAGGTATATACAGACCAGATTTTTGCTCCTGAGTAACCGAGTAATGAGAAATAGATGGATTTGGGGGGGGAAAAGTTTATTGTACACTCATTGTCCAATGAATAGGCTTGAATTATATAATATTTTGCATGAGTAGAAGGTTGGCTGCTGAATGCAAAAAAGCAGTATATGACAGAAGTAAAGCATGTGTGAAAATAAATGGAATGCTCAGCAAACAATTCACCACTGAGCAGAGTATACATGTTGTCCTCCTGGCTTTTTAGGTATTAATGTACATGGAATGTTTGTAGTGGTATTAAAAGTGTGGTGGTTGGGATATGAATGTATATGTATTTTACATGGAGATTATGCTGTGTTATTGGGTGACAACCCAGTAATCTGGAGCAAATATTAGTTTAGATGCAACAAGGAGTATGGATCTTAAAATTTTAATGTATCGAAGACTAAGGTAATTGTGTTTTACTGTGAGAATGAAGGATCAATGGCAAGTTATACATTATTGGGTAAAAAATCAGAGCAAGTAGATAAAATCTGTATCTAGGAAAAATATTTACTAAAAATGCAAAAATGGATGGGGAAACTAAATGTCATGTTTCCGTCTCTTTTTTCCTCTGGTTTACTATTTCTTATTCTTTTCCTTAACAATGCTTATCTTTAAAGGGAACAGCATAATGGTTATCTATGTATGATAACTACAGAATGTCAGCAATATTTTTACTGCTCTCATAGTTATAACTTCAAAATCAAATAGCACTTTTTTATGATCCAATGAGGAAACATTTTAACTATTTAACTTGCATTCATTTTTTCTGGAAAATTTTGGACACTAGTTTCAGCTCCATCCTATGCAAGTTTACTCGAAAATAATTCATTCAAGAGAACTTGCTTCCATGCTAGATAAGTATACAAATACATTATACTTATCTACAGTGATTATCATTTTCAAAATATATGATTTAGCTTATCATTACTGAAAGCACAGTAAGAGCAAAAGACACTGATTCTTGTGTCTAGGCTAACATGACTGTTAGTCATGTGCAAAATATTTTGAAATAGAACCATTCCAAGTGGGAAACAAGCTTCCTCAAACATTTTGATTTCAGTTCAAATTTGAAGTATTTGTCACATCCTTATAATTTTTCAGTACAAGAGGCAATTGGACTTCACTGGCAGAAGGTTACAAATAAAGTATCTATTTTACAGAACGACTATATTAATTTTCACCTACCCTTTTTAGGAATTATAAAGTATACATTCTTCCCCAAGAGTAATTTTAAAATGGGAAAATTAAAAGAAACTGATTTAATCAATTCATCTTGTATATAAAATCAGAGTCTCACAGCTGCTTTATCTTCAGGATTCTTCTAGCCCGTCTCACCAAGGTTCTCTTACTTGTCATGACCCCTTTAAGATCTGTACACCTAATTAGCAACAAATAGGTTGCCTTATACTTCTGTGATTTTTTACAACTGCTAAACAACTCTGTGAAAAATTCCATACTAGTTATGTATAGCATCATCTAGCTATCACTGTTATAATAAATCACCAACGCATATGGACTTCAGGGGACAGTTATCCACAGCGGTGGATAACTGAATCTACAAATCACTATTGTGAAAATGTTAACTGCTAGATACTGTATTACCAATATCACAAAATCCTTTAAGCATATAGTATAGATCTGGGAAACTGGCAATGCACTTCCAAAAGTGGGCAAAAGCAGGTTAAGAAGTAAATGTGTGCACTGAATGATAAACTTTAGATGCACCATTAAAAAAAAAAACGCTTAACTTTTAAACATTGGTTTTTGATGTTTGCCAATTTTGAACTTGCACACATTGTAGCATCTTAAACCTCTGAGCAGTCAAATGTTATTCAGCACTAACTTTTATTAACCATTTATTCAAATAGACTGGATTAAAAAAATATTAATTTGAACGTAGTTACTCTTCATTAGGAAAATTATTACCTATCATTTGTTTTAAATAATTATGAGTATCTCATCCAAATACTTACAGGAAGGATTACAGTATAAAATCCATAAACCAAGGAAAAGGAAAAATGAAACACTGGCTAACTTCTCATATACAATACTAAACCATATTGTAATTTACATGTGGCTTAGCAGGATATTCTGAAACCCAGTCATCAGAGTTTGCAAATCACCTATGTGTATGTGTGACATGTGAATCCAGCCAGTGAACTTAACTGAAAGTATACTATGGTGTTTTCACACAAGAGCTCAAGGATGTGATCACTGAAAACTTATCAGATATCACTTATTTTTTAAGACTGTGTGTTGTTGGTTCCTTGCTGCTGAAAATAGATTAAAAGGAGTCAATATAGGAAGACACATTGTCTTGTTACTTTTTAAAATGGGAAATAGCATAATGTAGTGGAGCTACATAGTGGTGTTGACAGCACCTATTTAAAATGATTTCAGATGCTAACAAGTAGCACAAGTCTTCAGCTTTCTTATCCACTAGTACCATCTCCTGAACAAGCACAGCTCATTTTTAAGCAATTTCTAATTAGGATGCATTATATTTTGTCCGATGCCAGATACCAGATCAGCTGGAATGCAAATATACAAGAGTATCTCTATAAGAGCAGTTTTGAACAGAAACCCTCCTCTTCCCTTCCCCCATTTCTAGCATCCGGTTCCAAACAATTAGTGGATGAGATCACAAAAGAAGACTCATCTGTAGAGCTATCATTTGTTTCCTAGGGAGGCCAGCTATCGCTTTCACAATATATCGGGTATTTCAAACCTACTAAGATTTTTTTTATTGACTTTAATAACATGTATACTTCATTTTCCAGAAACCTGCTACAGCTATATGCATTACAAGTGCGCTCACAATAAAGGATTTGCAAAGATGCCTTTGACAAATGATATTTTTGTAATCATTTTAAAGAAGGCATCGCATTTCCTTCTGGAACCTTTACACACTGAAGATTATAAGGACAATGTACACACAGATGTTATCGAAGAGTAGAGAGGGGGGAAAAAGGATTCACTATAGTCCCTCCGCAGGGATCTCTTTAAGAAGGTGTAAAGCTATGCATCATTTTAGATAGGGCTGCTTACATCCCGCCTATTAAAGGGTGAAAGCAGAATCTTTTTTCCCCAACAAATCATGCACACGCCCTTCCATTTATGCGTTAAAAAGGCAAATCCGACAGCCCCCAAAACTAATTGGAAGCAAATGAACAAAGAAAAAATCGTACAGTTGCAAACGAAAAAAAAAAGACGACAACCCAGAACAAAACGCCCAAAGCAAAGCAGCTGCCCCCTCCTCCGCCCATCTAGCCGCGTCTTTCCAGAGGGGCTGCTGGAGCTTGGCGGGGGCTGAAGCCAGGGGTCTAAACTCGGGGGGGAAAGCCTCCACCTCACTCGGGAGAGCGCCCGGGGGAAGGCTGGCCGCGTCGAAGGGGGGAGGAGAGGCAAAAGAGGAAGCGGATGGTTGAGTAGCTCCATCTGTATCCAATCTGGACCATCCCCCCTCATATTCATGCAGCAGCAGCCTCTATTGACTCCCAAAGGGACAGCGCTCCGCGGCCAGGAATAGCAGAAGCCCGGGCGAGCCACCAAGGGGGAACGGAGCAGAGGCAGAAGCGCCAGGAAAATGATAATCACAGCGGCTGTAACAGTAATACTACTATTATTAATAAAAGTACGCCAGGAAAAGATGATTAGGGTTGCTCCGTATTAATTGGAGCATCAATTACATGCGGACCCGCCCCAGGGCTGCAATCGCTCCCGAAGCAAGCAAAGGAAGAGGCCGCGAAGAAACAGACGAAGCCCCGAAAGTGTTGCTCGCTCCCGGGCAAAGACACCCTTCCCCCGCCCCAGGCAAAGGATCCCGCAGCATCACTCACTCACTCACACCCCCTCAAGAAGCCTGAAGTGCCGGCTCACTGATCCACCATCTTCTTCCACAGCAAGGGCGCGCGGGACGGGGGGGAAGTCAAGGGCGATCGCTGACCCTCCGCCAACCTACGTTGTTCCGCCTGTAGCAACCGCTTTAACGTTATTCCTACCATAAAGCGGCTAACGGCGCGGAACACAGGGAAGCTACTGCGCAGGCGCCGTCCCAGGGAGCGACATACAAGCGGAGGGGGAGGAAAGGAAAGAATGGATTTGCTTCAGAACGAGGCCAATGCGCAGGCGCATACATGAAGAAGCTGATTCTTGCCGCGCAGGCGTCGTTTTCTAGACGGTGGGGTTTCGTGTTGCTATTTATGTTTGTTTTTTCTTTTGGTGGAACGAACTAGTACGGTTTCGAAAGGTTTAAAGATATAATCTGTTTGGCGGTTCCCGTACGGAACGTGAAAAGGACAAATATGGTTCCTCCTATGAAAATGCTTTGTCCTTCTCATCTTTGTCTGGGATGGGAATGAAAAGTAAGAACGCGCCCACCTAAAGCGAACAAAATTGCCATCTTGTCTTCACCCCCAAAAAGAATAAAACCGTGTTTTGTTTATAATAGTGCTGGTAGCTTCACAGAGCCAACGAACCCACCACGTTTACATTGTTGTTGCACAAAACAACAATTCCCAGAAAGCAGCGCGGCGAAGGGTTCATTGACATAGAGCAGCGTCACGGCGTGTTGCATTTCGGGCGAGAGAGGAAGCCTTCTGTCTCTTACGTACGAGGCAGCGCGTGCCTCGCAGCAGACGTCATTCGCTTAGCGGCAGACATAGCGGTCTTCAAAGCGGGACTCAGGAAAACGCCGTTTGTTGGTTGTCTAGCAACAAGCCGCTTCGCGAGATACATCGGAACTTCCCAATGCCGTCCCTGGGGATTGTAGTTGCTCCTTACTTGCCGTAGCTATTTCGTTCAGCATTAGAAGGGACGGCGTTGAACTACAAAGACCGACAGCCCGCGGAGAAAGCTTAACGGGTTACTTTCCACTCTTCCCAATGGAGGGAGTCCCAGAGGCGGTCGGGATAGCCGAAAGAGTTGCGGCGTGCAGCCCGAGGCCCAGTTGGGGCGAGTCTCCGGCTTCGCTGAATCCCGTGGGGGAAGCCGCGGGAGAGTCGGACTTGGCGCAGTCTCTGGAGCGGTATCACCGAGGCTTACGCGGTGAGGACGAAGAGACGACGGGCGGGCAGTTTCGACGGCCGTTTGACTTTTGGGGTCCCTCAACCTCGATAGCTTTGTACTGGCCTCTTTATGGAGCCGCTTCTGCAGATAGGTCGTGGGGAGAGGTCGTAGGCTCATTGGAAAGTAGGGTATTTTAAGGGACGACGGCTTCAAACGTCAGAGGATTGTCTTCACAGCCTGTGTTTCTGTCTCAGGTTAAATAGGGTCTTCCCTGTATTAGTTCCTATTCCTTGATTTGCCCGCCTGGGTGAAGTGTGAAGCTGTGGCAAATGGATGTGCTCAATGACAGACGTTCTCAAATGAACTGGAATTTTTGGATCTCTCTTAGCCTAATTTCAAAACTGCGCAGGTCAGCCTGATAAATGATCTGTTCAAGAGAAGGGCAAGAAAAACATGGCCTGCTGGCTGTCCTGGATGACTTGATATCTTTTTATACTAGTCGCCTTAGATAGGATGACTGATTGGTTTCACACATTGAATTATGCCATGGTTGACTGAATAAGTGAAAATAATAGGAATTGCATATCATACTAAACTATACTCAGTTGCTTGCAACCACTAGCCAGTAACCAAGCAAGCCATGTTATGGTTTAACATGATGTGTAAACTTAGTCACTGATTTGGAGGTGGAGTGTTTTGGTGGATCCATTTAATAGTTTTGGTCCAACTTGGGTAATTCTAGGAAACAATAGCTAGCTTCAAGCTTTGGCATCTGTATAAAAAAGCTGAATTATTTTTTCTAGAGAGCTAAAGTGTAGTCCTTTTAGTAGCCAAATGACCAAACTTTATTTCTTCTTTTCATCAGACCTATGTTAAATCAGTGGAAATACTGAGTGCAGTAATGGAATAGATGAGGGCAAGTGCATTAAAGCAGCGGTCCCCAACCTTTTTGGCACCAGGGACCGGTTTCATGGAAGACAATTTTTCCATGGACTGGTGGGGGGATGGTTTCGGGATGATTCAAGTGCATTACATAATAGGGTTTTGATATGAGTCTGCAAGCAATTGATTTATTATGCTCTGTGCAGTCAAACCTCTCTGCTAATGATGATCTGTATTTGCAGCCGTTCCCCAGCGCTAGCATCACCGCCTCAGCTCCACCAAAGATCATCAGGCATTAGATTTCATAAGGAGTGTGCAACCTAGATCCCTCGCATGCGCAGTTCAGAGTAGGGTTCGCACTCCTATGAGACTCTAATGCCGCTGCTGATCTGACAGGAGGTGGAGCTCAGGCGATAATGCAAGCGATGGGGAGTGGCTATAAATACAGATAAAGCTTTGCTCCCTCACCCACCGCTCACCTCCTGCTATGTGGCCTGGTTCCTAACAGACCATGGACTGGTACCAGTTCGTGGCCCAGGGGTTGGAAACCCCTGCATTAAAGCTCAAACCAGAAAAGGAGGTGCTGTGACTAGGGGCTGAGGTTCAACTCCTGATAACTATATAGCTACATGCTTACCATCTTGATCCTGTATGTCTTTAACAATATGTAACCCTCCCAAAGACATTCCAATAATCTCTTGATTCATCCATCTTATCCCTTGTTTACGCTCAACTATGCCAAGCATAATTATTTTTTCTAGTCCATTATCTATTCTCATCACATGTCCAAAGTATGTGCATTTTTGCTTAGTGATCATCACTTCAGTATAGCAGTCACCTTTTATATGATGGAGAATTCCTGTTCTTTTGGCATTTCTTCATATATAACTTAATTTTTTTTTTGATAAAATTTTAAGCAAAATGCTACTTGACTATAGAATCTAAAGGTTCAGACTTGTGGTTGTGAGTACTAATCTAGCGTTGTTACCAGAAATTCAAATGGCATCTGGCATATAGTGCTTCTTGCTTATACAAGTTGATACAATGGCTACTATTATTTCTGAACATAGAGAGCTTGTCCATAATAAATTTATGTCCTGGTTAAATATTGAATAAACTTGCTTTAATGAATAGCACCTCCCTATCATTAATGAAACAGCCCCTCTTTTCAGATTTCTGTGGAAGCTTAATATGTATGTGCACTGCCCTAATATGTAGGTATTCAGAGTTGTAGCTTGACTTAAAGTTACAAATAAAATATATCTTGCTATTGAGTGAGTGAGATATATTCCTATACCTATGACCATGTAACATTTTTCGTAAGATTTTTCTCAGAGCTGAATCCCTTTCCAAACGTGTAAGCATTATGTGTTCAGTTTACCCAAATAATATCTTATTAGGGGTTCTTCTAATGCCATTACTGACTTACTGTTCCAATACATAGTTGTCCCTATAGCAATGCAGATGGCCTTCAAAATTGAAGGGGATAGAAAAATGGAATAGACAGAAGAGAAGCAGGCAGATGATTTGAGTAAACCGATTAAATGATACCAATTTGGGTTGGGTAGGGTAGTGTACCAGCAAATCACAGTAAACTACCAGCTGTCCAGAGTCATTGTGAGCTGGCAGCATACAAATTAAATAAATAAAATCAGTGGGAGGAAGGACTGCTGGTTGTTGGTAAATTGTATGATATTGATGCAGTTTCTGTAAAACTAGTCACAATACTTCAGCATTATCACTGCCATTGTTCCTGTGTCCTCTGATACATTTGGCTGGTAACTTTAAAATGTATTGGCTGCTGAAGTAAAAAACATGCAGACAGAACAATAAATTTAAAAAAATCACTTAAAAATACCAACACTTGGAAATATCCATTTCTAGAAATAAAAAGATAATTGATCCTGATTCTTTCACCAAGTGTTTGAGTATAAGAGTGAGTAAGGCTGAGATCTCATTCTTATCTGATAATAAGCTGTGGTATATTTAGTAAGATTTGCTTTTAAATATAATTTAATATATTTTAAAATAATTGATGAGATTCTGCATGCTTTGAAAATCCAGATAAGAATGGTTAAGATTCAACAGTACCGAAAGAGGAAATATATCAATATTTGTTGGATTCATGGTGCTCTCTAAGTTTGTTTGTTTGTTTTCTTGCAGACATTTCATTACCAAGTGAGATAACATCATCAGTACCAGGGAGAATGGGGTTTGCTAGCTGTTTACATATAGTAGCTTGCCCTGCCAGTCTTGATGGGGTGTGTGGCTTCCTTCTTGATAGTTCCTTGATTATGGTATTGTTTCCTCCCTGATTGTTTAATGAAAGATCTGCAAGAAAACAACAATACTCAGAGCACCAGGAACCCAACAGTTCAACACTGAGCTTTATATATTCTACTGGATATCAGTATTTATTCATGTCCTATTTTTCTTTTTTTAAGACTCTAAAGTAACATGTAAGCTAGGTGAATGTGATCCTTACATTCCTCTGTTCTTATACTTTTAAAAATATATTTATATGTATTTATGTTAAAGAGGGAATTCTTAGAAATTAATTGTATTGATGCTAGAGCTCTACTTATCCTTTGTGAAATAACTGAAGTAACCTGCAGCTGTTGCTCCAAGAATCAAGGGGCTATGTCCCCTTGCGTCAGTGCCTTCAAGGACATCATATTTTCCAAGTATGTGTGTGCAAGTTGTCCAGTGAAGTCAAATGGATATTAATTTTTACCATTGATCTTATAATCTAATTAAAATAATAGAGCTAAAAATAACCCTGAAATTAAAAAAAACAAAACAAAGCCAGCTATGTCTATACAGCAGACATATACATACCATAAAGAGCGTTACTCAAAATAAGTCTTTACTAGTTCAAATATTAAACAACATATAATTGAAAAAGAGAGAGTCTGCTGTAAAATCTATCATTTGGTAAACACTTATTTACACAACATGAAGGCATAAAAACGTGGAAAAATGGTACAAAAATAGTTCATTAATGACTTGTTCATTATACTCTCTATACATATATCTTTCAGTGCCTCTGTTCTGTTCTTTCTTTGCTGCTATGAGCTATCAGCATTTCAGTTACTCTTGTCAATGTTATGTGCCAAATAGGTCCATGCAGTGCTTCACAGGGAAAAATGTGCTTTGGAGCATCCAGGGGAATACTTATTATAAAAAGTATATAATAGTTTGTAGCTGTATTTTCCCTGTAACAAATGAAGAGAACTTTAAATACATTTTGGTCAGTCGGGATTGAACTAGTGTTTTGTTCAGTTCACCATAGTGAACTGCATTATCCTTTGGGGCACATTTATTTGAAATAATTTTATTCCACTTTTCCATTCATTCAACTTTCCAAAATATCTAGCCCAGTATTCAATAATAATATGAATTAGCCTCTGTCTCTGAAGATTCTGCTAGGTGTGTATCTGCTGCACTGAAGAATTTGGAAATTACAGAAGAATCAGGTTTGCTAGCAGGAAAGAGTGGGTCTCCCAATTATTCTTTCTCAAGTTTCAAGTTTGCCTTTCTCTATTGATTAAGAGTTCAATGTGCCTTATACTATTTAGAAATTAGTAATCTGGCAATGATTATGGCTGGATTCAAACATGATGCTAAGCCATAATGTATTATCTTTAGTGATGGCTTCACTTATGCAAATACAGTGCTTGTGGTTTGTAAATTCTAGTTTATCTTTTAATGTGTTCAATTGAAATATATCCAGTAAACCTTAATTAAACAAACCAAGCTATTTCTTTTAATTTCTCCTTATTTAGTTCCATAGGTAGATAAATCCTGTTAATAAATCTCAACTATATTTGCTTACTGAGAAACCTTTAATCATAGTGAATTTTTAAAATTATTGTTCTCAGATCGTGCTAGTAAAAGCCTGGATCAATTGAAATATGTCTTGCGTGAAAAAGATCTGGCAGCAGATGAAAGGGCAGCTACATTGGATCAGTTATTTCCTGACACAGGCCATGAAGTCAGTGAAGATAAAGCTTGGCAGGAGCTACAGTACAGCCATGCAGGTTTGAAATTTTCCATTTGTTTTTTTTTTCAAACTAGAATTATTATCTTATTTAAAATATGTTTTACTATTGTGTTATAGTTAATCAGCTTAAAGCATTATTACGACAACAAGAAGAAAAAGGGAGTGAAACATCACCTTCAAAGAAGAGGGGAATGCCACCCACAGTAAGTATTATCTGCTTTTTTTCTCTTGTTATATGAACAAATAATTACATGTCTGTTAACAGAACAATATCTAAGTAGTATTTATGTTGTCTCATTTGATGAGTTATATAGTTATTTAACAAGCCATTAATAGGCTAGTGTGTATATAAGCTTTTGTATTTTAAGCTACCTATTGTTAGTTCAGTACTATACATCTTGCTAATTGTGTATGATATGGACAAGGCAAAGCATTAGGATGAGATGGAAGACAAAGGTTATGAATTTATTTGGTTGTGGAGCATGTGCAAGCACATTATGATCCTTTTAGTTGGTTTTAACAGTGGAGACATGGTTCTGAATTTCTTACGAGTGCCTTTGTATGTACCATATAATAATTTTGCATATGTACATTTTTTGTTTGAATCATCTGCTTTATAAAAGTTTATTAAACTTCTACTTGAAGGAAAAATTAATCATTGAGTCCATTGATCACTTCTGACCACTCACATATCAAATCATTTTTCTTCTGAAAGATAGAATAGTGCACTTTTGTTCTGGAAACCTGCAAATCCACAGCTGGACATAAAAACACATAAAATGTTTATTTGCCTTATTTGCTTGTAGTACATATTGTCTATTAGTGTTCATTGTCTTTCTCTGCTAAATGTATGGAAGTGCGAGGGTAAATACTACAACATTTGCTTCAACTTTTTTTAAGCTGATGAAGGGTAATGCCATGTTGAGATGTTATTTATTGAGCACTATCAATTTATATGCTTTAATGAAAGCTCATTAAGAAATGGTCCCCAGTCAGAAGTTATTAGACAGAAGGAAAAAGCATTAAAAGATCTCTTGAAGAAGTGGAATATTAATATAAAATTTTAAGGAGCCTAAAGGCTACTGAAGATTCTGGAGAGGAAGTGAGTTCAAAGGGATATAACAAATTGTTCATCATCATAAATCAATTTTATCCCACAACACTGAGTGGTTCAAAATATCTTAACATAGTAAGTACCATATATTTTATAACTAGTGTTACTTAGATATTCATTCACTCACTAAAATTTATAGTCTGCCCAGTTCCAAGACTCAGGGCAACTTAAATATATATAAAAAGTCATGTGACATAAGTCATAAAACAAGATTTAGATTTCATTAAACTTGAAACATGTCATTAAAACATTTGGGGTGGGGGGAACAATTTATGCTATCCCAGTTATATTTTACTGCTCATTGCAAACATTGAAATTTGCCCCATTTCATTGGTTTTTAAAAATGCTTAATATTCTGGGTCCATATTATTCCTTTCTCAGTTTTATATATATTTTATATAGCTTATACATCTGAAATGCAAAGGATGTGTTTTTTAAAAAAACTGATGGGCCTTTTGCTTAAAACTAAGAAAGGACATAAACCTGGCCTTTCAACCATGGTAATTTACTAGACCATTGGAGACCCCATTGTGCAATAGCTCTGCTTCTTCCTCAGTGGGCAATTTTAGTCTGTAGTGATGGAAGATGAGAGATCAGTCTGGTGGCCCCTGATATGTGGGTTGCTGTGCAGATCAGTCCTCTCTCTCCTGCCCTTTTAACATTATATGAAACTGCTAAGGAGAGGTTAGCTTAAGGTGTGGTATCATCAGTAAGATAATACCCAACTTTATATCATCACCTTGGGCTGCAGGGGATATGCAATCAATACCCTATTCTGGCACTTGGAGGCTATAAAAGTTTGTATGGAAGACAGCAGGCTGAAGTTGAACCTAAGTAAGATGGAATTGCTGTTTGTACATTCGGTTTCTCTGTTGATACCAGTGTTATCTCTTGATGGGTAAGCAGTACCTGTGAAGTAGTAGGTTTGTGATTTTAGGGTCCTTCTGGACTCACAGCTCCTGCTTGAAGAGCAGATAGAAGCCATGGCTAGAGGAGCTTTGCCCAGCTTCAGCTGGTGTACCAATTGCAGCCTTACCTGGTGCAGGAGGATCTAGTTATAACAAGTCATGCTTTCATTACCACTTGGTTAGACTACTGCAGCACACTTTGCATGGAGCAGCTCTTAAAAGACTACTTAGAAACTACCACTCATGCAGAATTCAGCAGCCTATGTCTGGGAGCATATTACACCAATTCTGCAGGCTTGGCACTGGTTGCTGATTGGTTTCGGGACATAATTTAAGATGTGGTATTGACCTATAAAGCCCTTTATGGCTTAGCACCTGGGTACCTACAGGACTCCCCTTCATGGATCACTGCCTTGTCGTGGCGAAGGGGCTTGCGTAACTCAGTGAA